GCGCACGTCTAAACTTCAATTGACACGAAACTTGGCGTGCTCGCAAATCTCACTAATATGCATCTCTAACTTTAAAGTCGCTCGTCCAAACTCTCGACGGAACCCCGACTTCTAGGGTCATGGCCCGGGGCCCCAACTGGCCCCCGTTGAGCTTGTCACCGACACCACTGACATCGCCTTCGCCTTGCATTTTGCATACGCCTTCTCTAGGTATTCTTGAGTACATCCATGGGATGTGATAGGTGATGCACCATCCTCTTTGGTCGCATCACGGCACTTCTCTCTCGGCACTCAACATGGCCCGATGGGTGACATACATGTCGCCACCACTTGTCCACTATGTGGGTGCACAACCTACTCTTTACTAGTATGGTTGTGACACTTATCGCGCGCCTCAAGAGAAGCCCGAAGCACAATAAACGTGCACTTCATGGGCTTTTGAAATAAAAAGCAAATAATAAAAAAAAAATTAAGCAGAAGACAGAAGGCAGAAGATATGAAAAGATTTTGTTGGGCCTTTTTTAAAAAAGAGTGCTGGCCGTTTGGAGTAAATGTCAGAAGGTAGAAAAGATATTATCAAAAGATTTTGTTTTTTTTTTGTTTGGAAAGGATATCAAAAGCCAAAGATTTTGCACGATTTTTTCCCTCCCTTTTACCATTTACGGCAATTCTTCTCCTCTTCCTTCACATCAACGAAAAAAGTCTTCTTCACTAAACCATCACTAAACCTCCAGCCAACTCTGCAACATCTACTCTCTCGATTTCCTCCCCTTTCAATTCTACAGCCCTCCCCTTTCAATTCTACAGCCCTTAGCAAGCAATCGGGCAGCCCTTTTTTCTTCCTCAAATAGTAAGCTCTCTCCCATTTTTCAAATTCTCCAATCCAACAGTAAGCTATCTCTTTCTTTTTCTCTTCCTCTCTCATGGAAGTATGCTAGTTTGGTATGTAAGTATGCTAGTTTGGTTTTCATATATTTTTTAAGTGTATATATATATTATTTATTTATTTTTATATATAGCGCGCCTCGCGCTTAAGCTCGAGAGGTCTGGGCTTTAGTGCGCCTCGAGCTTTTTAAAACACTGATTAATCCTATTTCCTTTTAATAAGAAACAACTTTTCATCGATAGATAAACGAAGTGAAGGGAAAAAAAAAGAAAACCAAACAACCAAAAAAATGAAGTGAAATTCTCAAAATATTACAATAACGATAAATAAAACATTGAAGAACAAAAATTTCACGGGAGATCTCGGAAAGCCAAGCCATATGAACAAAAATCAATACCAAGCTTCAAAAGCAGCACCAAGCAAACGCTCAAAAGAGTATGCACTGAGCCTACATCATTATAATACTCAGCTAGCAAAGAAATAAACGATAAAGTTATATTCTTTTAGCTCCTATGCGGATAAAGTTATATTCTTAGTCCATGAAAATTATATAGTGCAAAGATCATCAATATCTCAAAGGGTCATATTAGACTGGCATCATGAAGAGCACGAATACCCTAAGATGTGCAAACTTGTAGAAGTATAATTCTATGCCACAATTACAAATGAGGTAAAAAAAGTAAATCAAGGAAGGAGAATATATAAGCTATATAATTTTCTTATGTAAAAAAATCCTTGGACGCACGGAAGGAAAGAAGAGCCATGAAGAGCACGAATACCCTAAGATGTGCAAACTTGTACAAGTATAATTCTATGCCACAATTACAAATGAGGTAAAAAAAGTAAATCAAGGAAGGAGAGTATATAAGCTATATAATTTTCTTATGTAAAAAAATCCTTGGACACACGGAAGGAAAGAAGAGCCAGCCAAAAGCAATTCACTATCTCACAAATCCACAACTTGAAAGATATATTGCTCCCCAAGTATCAACAATATCAAACACTGAGACAAGAATGATATAACAAAAATCATAAATAAATAAATAAATAAAAAAATACAAAATAATAATAATAAAGATAGCTTATCATAATAGTAATAGTGCTGTGTATTTTCATATAAGCATACAGACTGAATTGGGGTAAAGAAACTTACCGAATATGTAGTAGAGGTCATCATTCACTACATCTTTTGCTAGGTTCTTAATATACAACACCGAAGTAGGACTCCCAGCAGTATAGTTCTGCAATATCAACGAAACTTTCTAATATTATTTTCATCACACGTAAATTTTCATCACAATCAAATGGTAGAAAAAATACAGCTATAGGTTCAATGCTAAACCAGAAAAATAAAAGCAAAATTAACTAAAACCAGGAAAATAAAATTACAAAAGATACGGAATAAAAAAACCCAACAAAGCAGAAACAAAAAGTAACTGTTACGACTCAACATCCTATCCTGTTTATTTAAATTATATCTATTTATTTAAAAAAAAAACCAACAATCAATGACATAAGGGTGTCAGTGTCCCAATTGCTGTCTCCTTCTGAACTGAAAATATCAGCATCTAGAAAACATATGGATAACAAGCCGTGAAGCATATTACCAAAATTTTGAAGTTTCAGGCCAATGCACAGCCCACAAAAAAGCTTACTCTTCAGATTTGGAAGTTAAGGCTTCTACACTCAACTAAAAGGTACTAAAATGAAGCATAAACTTTTGTGTGGGACAATTATTGAACGTAGGAATTAATTACATGCTTACATGTGGAGTTGGAATCACTGATCAACTAAAACTATTTTATGATGTAGGAGTTGTTTGAGCAAGGGAGTTGCTTAATTAGGAGTTAGGGGTCGTTGGAAACTATGTTCAAAACAAATCTCCAGTTTTTTAGAATAAAATTACTAAAACATGTTTGGATAGCTATTTTTAGAGGTATTTTCTTGTTTTCTCTTAGTATATTTTTAAAAATTACTATTTTTTTAAAATAAAACTGTTGTTATTCCTTCTAAAAACACAAATTTTTTATGGTAATTTCTGTGTGCATAATACAATTAACATTTACTAAGTCTTTTGATCACAATTTTCAAGAACGGTTTTGAGAAAAATTAGAAAATGTCTTTTCACAATATATTTTCAACAAGGACCACCTAATCATTTCATATGTAGTAAGCTTATGTAGTAAGCTTTTGATTATAGTTATAGGAAGCTTCTATTTAAGAGAAAAGTTTAACCATCTTAAACAAAGTTTTTTTTTTTCGCTAAAGAAAACAAAACTATAAGTTACAGAGGGGAGGAACAATAAAACATAAGAATTATTCTGGAATTCATTAAAGAAATAGTAGGGTATTTATATACATGGAAAGAATATCTTTTTCCTAAAATAAAGGAACGAGAAAAGGAAACCAAATAAAGAAAGGAAAGACGGCAATACAGTATCTCAATTGCTCAAGACTAGGAAACTAATTAATTACAAGATATTTTAATATCTTCAACAAAATCTCTTCCTTTCTAATAGAAATAAAGCTTCAATAAACTAAAGTTACAAGTAACATGCATTAGTTTAATACTTTAAAATCGAAATATCACATGGTATAGTACCTTGAACATTGGAAGTGATAGAATTTCTTCTGGAGGCAATTTTCCTCTCTCTAAATCTTCAAGTGTTGCATAGGGTTTAAGATCTGGTTCTTCTTTCTCTGGCTCTTCTAGCTCATTATTAATAGTATCATCCTTTCCATCGTGAATCACTTTAGGAACAATTTTAATCTGCAACAATTTAAGTTATTTAACTAGTGGATCTGAGGAATCATATAAATAAGATCATATGCCAATTAGTTACACTTATGATAAGAACAACCTGAAACACTGGGTTCTTTTTTATCATCGGAATCTCTTTTGGGACCAATGGGGAAGGTTTCACCCCAACAGCCTCATGAGCCACATCTTTGTCTATACCGGGGCCTACAATTGTTTCACACCTAGAACGCTTGTTTCCTAATTTTGCAGTTTTTGAGACTCCACTTGAATGATATTTTCCTTCCACTTCCTGATGTGCATTCATATCCAATTAACCAGTAAGTTCCAGGACATAAGGGGAGTACATTATCATATCTCATCTCAGCTAGAAACATTCTAGGATAATAAATATTAGAAGTACACAAAGAGCTTGAATATCTAAATACACCCAACAATAACTTCAAAACAACTACATTCTACCAACTAACAATCCAAGAGTACAAATACATATCTATGTACATAAAGTGAATAGGAAACGGACAACCTTATATGTTTATCAATCTGGCAAGTTACCTCTTCTGAGGACTCCATTTCTGACTCATCACTGGACATATTTGTCACGTGGGGCCTTGGAGTGGTAGGAAGAGGAGGTGGTGGCAACGTTAGTGATGGTGATGGTGGTGCAGGAATGGAAGGTGGGAGAGGCGGAGTGGGTAGAGGCAATCGGAATGGAGCTGGAATGTTCATCTTGTTCATTAAGTGCAACACCTACAATTGAAAAACCAAGTTGTGAGTATTTAAATCAAATGTGCTCCATGGTTTAAACATATAAGTTGTCATTTCATCTATTAATAGCAACCTGTGTATAAAAGCGAGGGACAGCTATGAGGGCATTTACAATGTTGGTCAGGATATTACCATCTGGAGGAGGATAGGCATACCTAAAAAAAAGGTTGTTACCAAATTTTAATGAGTACAAACCAAATACAATTGTCTCCAGAAAAATTTCACTCAGATCAATGACAGTGAACGAAGGAGTACCGACAGAAAAATAGCATTTTAAAGGAAACGAACCAATCAGGACTACAAAAACAGGTAATGCAGTCAGAAGTATCCAAAGAGGACATGGAGGATTAAATAGATCTCTTTTTTTAGTCCCCTTTTGCTGCTTCATGCTTCTACGATCTCTTTAAAATCCTTAATATCAGATGGTGTTTCCCAAGAAGCAGTTTGGCAGCTCTCTTCCAATTTATTTCAAGCAGCTATTTTTTTTGGCTAAGTTAGGATTATTTGATCCAATACAGTAATGACTCTTCTCTGGAGATTATGGTTTGAAAGAAACAAATGGATCTTTCAAAGGGAGTATGATTTTTGGTATTTAGTTAGACTTTGCTACTTGGTGCTCTCTTGAAAGAGTTCTATAATTATCTTTTGTAAAAAGAGTCACTCTAACTTGCAAGAACACTCTAGCAGTACCTTTCCACTATACTTTCTAGCACACCATGGATGTAATGGATCTCCTCGATCTCTCAAATGTGTTGTGTGAAAGTCTTTGGTCTCTTAACATGGAGCCCAGCAAACAAATCCCTAATCACTAGAAGTGACAAATTGCTCTAATCACTCAAAGTGACTCGTAGTGCACATGCTACACTTGGTTCTTGTGGTAACAACCACATAGTACTACTACCTAGGTCCTTGATTTTCCATGCCCATGCATCAAGGATGCCCCTAATTGACTAGTGGGGCCATGTCGTGTCCCCAATCGTCATCAATGATCTAAACTTAATTATTTTTCACCCATTTCTATGACATTGTCGTGTAGATATAGACTCTACAGGTGGAATGGATGTGCATCAACCATTTCAGGACTATTATTTTCATTCATTTGAATACAGAAGTCTCTGCTTACTTCAAAACATGACAAAGGAAACTTGAAGATGAAGCCTCAAGGAAGGCCGAGTTCTTTGAAAAAAAAAAGGAAGTTCAAGAAGAAATACAGGCCGTGTATGTCCCACAATTGGTATCTCTTTTGTCAAAAAAATCTGGAAAAAAGGAAGGCATATTTGATACTAGTAACTGCACCTATTCCAACACAAGATTTAGTACCTTTAGTGGGGCTCATTTAAACTTGTGTATGTCTAAATGCGTCGATGCTGAAAAATTAAACACAAAATTTCAACAATCTAGAATATACTTATCGAATATCTTGAATTTTCAAAAAAATGAGATATTACAGAGTCACCGACTTCAACTTCCAACCTTAAAAAATTTGTGAAACTAGCATACATTAGAACACAATAAAAATTATAATGTTGGATAAAAACATTAAATAGTGGTAGAGCACCATACTCAAGATGAGGAGGGAATGGATAGTCCACACCAAGCCTTGCAGCAATTGGCTCAGTAACATGCAGAGGCCTCGCTCTCATACCCTCAGTATGATCTTTGCTCATATGGTCCTTAGCCATGCCATGTTTGGTAGAAGCACCATCCATCCGGAAAGATGAGGATAAAATAAAATCCTTCCTTTAATTGGATATTGTCTGTTTAAATTTATAACAGTAAATTGGTCTAATAGCCCTTTCCTCCGCTAAAACTTTATCAAGAAGCCTCAGCCTGCCACCATAAAATACAACAGTAAGGTGAAGATTGGGAAGCTTACATCATAAGTTAATTCCTTTCCAATAAAATTTAAACTAAATACTTTCTATGAAGTTTATTTTTATTGAGAGAAACTGTAACGCCCCCAAAATTTCAACAACACAAATAGGGCACGTTACTAAAATCTCATATTCAACTCAACATCACTAATAGGAATAACTACATTTTGTCCAACAACTTCATTTAAAGCAACTTAATCAACTTTTACTAACCATAAACTATCCACTAAGCGAATCTTAAATTCTCAAATAACAACGAAGCAAAAGCTAACTTAATTTCAACTTGAACAAATGTATTAATAGCTATCGTCAATAGATTTCAACCCACAGTTGAAATAGTTAAACAAAACTAATGTTCTCAAAAGAATAACGTACAGACAGCCCCAAAACATCCTTTAAACATGAAACTTAAACAAACCAACTCATTAATCAAATAACAAACTCAAACTAAAAAGAAACGACTCCAACCATCCTATCCAAAATGAAAATTAACAATGCAGCACTATATGGTCTCTCTGGTCAAGCCTCCTCCTCGCCATCACCATTCCCATCAAAATCTAGAGGGAAAAAAAGGGAGGGGTGAGTACAACTACTAGTACTCAGTAAGCATCCCTTACTTGAAGGGTCACGCACAAACAACATGCTTACACTATAACAAAACATCATGCTTATCATTAACGTCATGCTTTAAATAAAAAGAAACATTTTATACATAAGCTTAACTAAACATGCATCCTATGTGCCAAACCCAATCCTAACCTCAAAACACACTAATTCTCTTTCTTTTTCCGCCAAGACTTACTCCTTCGAGTCGTACCAACCCCTGACCACACATAGCCGAGGCCTTGACACTTCTCTATGGTGTTTGGCATTTGACCGTAACCACGCATAGCCAAGGTCTCAAACTGTTGCACCGACCCCTAACCACGCATAGCTAAGGCATCAATAACTTTGCAACATATTGACCCTTATCCTTTCCTTTAAAGGCCCCAATACTTGTCTTCCCACTAAGACTCGCTGAGTCGACCCCTAACCATGCATAGTTAAGGCCTCGACACTCATCTTGTCCAAAGTTGGCGCATCGACCCCCGGCCATTTACCCGAAGCCTTGAAACCCAACTAGTGACATATTAGCCCCTGGGCCTGATACTCACCCATTCACTTCATAACAAAATCTAAACTCTCACCAGAGTCCTGCATGCTTCTAAGCTATGACTCATGCATCAATTATCTCATAAGAGTCTAGTATGCAATATACACAAAACATACGTAAATACCAATTAACTTAAAATAGTCCTATCCAACAACCACATCGTATATATTTCACAAAAGAGGCACAACAAACAATGTAACCAATATATTCAGCATGCTTCAACAAAATAGGCTTCACACAAATATTCAGTATGTTTTACAAACACGACCAAGCAAGTGACAACATAATTATTAATCTTTAAGAAGTTCATCCAACTAAAATACATAAACAATCACCATATCCATAAGCTCCAATAGTCAAAACACGTCATAAGTCTCTAAATGGCCAAATGAGATTTAATTCAACATACCCAACATGCTTAAACTCATAATACACTTTGTTGACACACCCAATGTATATCCAACAGTTCATCAAGAATTAT